AAAAGATTATTCACCACGACCAAGTAGGCTTCATCCCAGGAATGCAGGGGTGGTTCAACATACGAAAATCAATAAACGTAATAAACCACATTAACAGAAGCAAAGACAAAAACCACTTGATCATCTCAATAGATGCAGAAAAAGCCTTTGATAAGATCCAACACCATTTCATGATAAAAGCTCTAAGAAAACTAGGAATAGAAGGAAAGTACCTCAACATTATAAAAGCTATATATGACAAACCTACAGCCAGCATTATACTTAACGGAGAAAAACTGAAACCATTCCCTCTAAAATCAGGAACTAGACAAGGATGCCCACTATCTCCACTCCTATTCAACATAGTACTGGAATTCCTAGCCAGAGCAATTAGGCAAGAAGAAGGAATAAAAGGAATACAAATAGGTAAAGAAACTGTCAAAATATCCCTATTTGCAGAATAGCTTCTAGACATCATCAATAGCTATAGCAAGGTAGCAGGATATAAAATCAACATAGAAAAATCATTAGCATTTCTATACATTAATAATGAGCAAACTGAAAAAGAATGTATGAAAACAATTCCATTTACAATAGCCTCAAAAAAAATCAAATACCTAGGTGTAAACCTAACAACAGATGTGAACGACTTCTACAAGGAAAACTATAAGCTTCTGAAGAGAGAGATTGAGGAAGACTATAGAAAGTGGAGAGATCTCCCATGATCATGGATTGGTAGAATCAACATTGTAAAAATGTCTATACTCCCAAAGTAATCTACATGTTTAATGTAATTCCCATCAAAATTCCAATGACATTCATTAAAGAGATTGAAAAATCTACGTTAAATTTATATGGAAACACAAGAGGCCACGAATAGCCAAGGCAATACTCAGTCAAAAGAACAATTCTGGAGGTATCACGATACCTGACTTCAAACTATATTACAAAGCAATAACAATAAAAACAGCATGGTACTGGCACAAAAACAGACATGAAGACCAGTGGAACAGAATAGAGGACCCAGATATGAAGCCACACAACTATAACCAACTTGTCTTTGACAAAGGAGCTAAAATATACGATGGAGAAAAAGCAGCCTCTTCAACAAAAACTGCTGGGAAAACTGGTTAGCAGTCTGCAAAAAACTGAAACTAGATCCATGTATATCACCCTATACCAATATTAACTCAAAATGGATCAAGGATCTTAATATCAGACCACAAACTCTAAAGTTGATACAGGAAAGAGTAGGAAATACTCTGGAGTTAGTAGGTATAGGTAAGAACTTTCTCAATAGAACCCCAGCAGCACAGCAACTAAGAGATAGCATAGATAAATGGGACTTCATAAAACTAAAAAGCTTCTGTTCATCAAAAGAAATGGTCTCTAAACTGAAGAGAACACCCACAGAGTGGGAGAAAATATTTGCCAGCTACACATCAGACAAAGGACTGATAACCAGAATATACAGGGAACTTAAAAAACTAAATTCTCCCAAAACTAATGAACCAATAAAGAAATGGGCAAGTGAACTAAACAGAACTTTCTCAAAAGAAGAAATTCAAATGGCCAAAAAACACATGAAAAAATGCTCACCATCTCTAGCAATAAAGGAAATGCAAATTAAAACCACACTAAGATTCCACCTCACCCCTGTTAGAATAGCCATCATTAGCAACACACCAACAACAGGTGTTGGCGAGGATGCGGGGAAAAAGGAACCCTCTTACACTGTTGGTGGGAATGTAAACTAGTACAACCACTCTGGAAAAAAATTTGGAGGCTACTTAAAAAGCTAAACATGATCTACCATTTGATCCAGCAATACCACTCTTGGGGATATACCCAAAAGACTGTTACTCCAGAGGCACCTGCACACCATGTTTATTGCGGCACTATTCACAATAGCCAAGTTATGGAAACAGCCAAGATGCCCCACTACTGACGAATGGATTAAGAAAATGTGGTATCTATACACAATGGAATTCTAAGCAGCATGAAGAAGAACGAAATGTTATCATTCGCTGGTAAATGGATGGAATTGGAAAATATCATTCTGAGTGCGGTTAGCCTGGCCCAAAAGACCAAAAATCGTATGTTCTCCCTCATATGGACATTAGATCAAGGGCAAACACAACAAGGGGATTGACTTGATCACATGATAAAAGCGAGAGCACACAAGGGAGGTGAGGATAGGTAAGACACCTAAAAAATTAGCTAGCATTTGTTGCCCTCAACGCAGAGAAACTAAAGCAGATACCTTAAAAGCAACTGAGGCCAATAGGAGAAGGGGACCAGGATCTAGAGAAAAGGTTAGATCAAAGAATTAACTTAGAAGGTAACACACATGCACAGGAAATCAATGTGAGTCAACTCCCTGTATAGCTATCCTTATCTCGACTAGCAAAAACCCTTGTTCCTTCCTATTATTGCTTATACTCTCTCTTCAACAAAATTAGAGATAAGGGCAAAATAGTTTCTGCTGGGTAGGGGGTGGGGAGAGAGGGGGGTGGGGGGAGGTAAGGGAGGGGATGGGGGAAGGGGGGAGAAATGACCCAAACATTGTATGCACATAGGAATAAAATAAAAATTAAAAAAAAAAAAAAGAACAAAATAGCCCACCAGTTTATGGGATGTCATAAGATATTTCTGAGACACACATCATAAGTTAGGTGAACATCAGTTCTTGAAACTATAAATCTTTACTTTATAAAACAAAGATCCAGGCCTGTAAATCCAGTAATAGTTGGCACATTATAAATTTGTACACTCACCTTGGCCTCTTGATCTTAACCATGACTTCAGCCTGCTGATCGTAGGGAGGGACTTAACTCTCCAAGCCCCTTCCAAGTAAAAACTTGTGCCAGAGCAAAAATAACTGCTGCTGTCATTTTCACTCTAGAGATGACCCACTTTTAGTCTATTGAGAATGTATTCCTTTCCCAATAAAAGTCACTATCACTTTCATTGTATTTTTACTTCTTGTCTGAGTTCTTCTCTGGCCAGACTCAAGGACTGAGGTAGACTTTCCAATGACACTTCCATGTAACTACGATATGTAATATGATAACTGGCTGAGTTTAATAATGTTGGACTGAGATTCTAGCACTGCCACTTACTAGTTATGTGACCTTGAGCAAAGTATTTGATTCTTTCTAAGCCTAGTTTCTAATTCAACAAAGTGGCGCTAATAACACTGACCTTTACATATATTACAGCTATATGTAAAGTATTTACTCTCTTCGCAAGCCAGAGGTGCTGAATAGATGGATTCTGATGATGAAGTCATCCTCTTTCTATGGTCTGCACCATCACCAACATAGTTTCAGTTTATTTATGGCTTACTAGAGGCCAAATACTCTAGTAATTAGGAACTTAACATAGTCAATTTCACTTATAATTAATTTTGTTACAATATCATGTCTAAATTAATTTTAATTTTATGGATTAAAAACCAAGGCGTAAAGAGATTAGCAATGATTTTGTTTAATTAATTACTTATTGTTATTTTGGTGCTGGGGATTTAACACAAGATTAGCAACTATTCTAAGATTATAAAGATACAAGTGGTAGGGTATGAGTTTGCATTTTGTATGTTATACCTAGGACTGTGAGAGTCCTAAGCCAGTGACTCTAATGTGCTTCAGACAAGGTTTGCTGCTTCAGAATTGAACCTGCTCAGAGTGCGTTTTTTTTTTTCCTGTACAATTGTACCCCCATCAAGCCCAGGACCAACTCCAAGTCCTCACTTCACGGAAGTCTTTCATTCTCACCAAGTCAGTGACTTCTTCATGAGATGCAGTTGTTGGTCTAAATAATCTAGTCAGGCAACAAAACACTGATGGCCACACCGCATCTGTTATTTTTCCCTTGGAAATGCTTCCCCTGCCCCCCCTCCCACCCCCCATTATTGACTTTTAGTTTCTTAAAGATACAGCTTTTCCAAGTCCCAACAGACTTACCTACCTTTGACATAGGTACTCAAAAATATTGGTAGACTAACAGAAGTTTGCATTTTCATAGCTTATTTTTTAAGAAGCAATGTATAATGACATTGAGTCACAATAATTGTTTTAAAAATCCTAAATGTTAAAGGACACATATTTCTGTCATAAGTATCCTTGATAACAGTAACAAAGGAAAACACAGGGGTACATGGCAGTTTTAAGACAGCTGAATAGAGGACAACTAACAGTAATCAGAAGCTTTTCCATCTCCCATTTTGTCTTGCCTAGATTTGACAGGCTGGGGAGATTAAAGAGCTTTGACCAATATAAAGAGAGAGAAATTAGCTAAACTTTAAAGAGATGAAACTGGACTGGAGGTGTGACTCAAGCAGTAGAGCACCTATTGTGCAAGCACAAAGCCCTGAGTTCAAACCCTCAGATTCACTAAAAACAAAATAAGAAAAGAGATGAAATTATTTGTTTTGAATCTTTCAACCTTTTTTTTTTAGGCATTACTGGGGTTTGAATTCAGCTCAGGCGAGCTACCACTTAAGCTGAGCTCCATGGCATTACTGGGGTTTGAATTCAGCTCAGGCAAGCTACCACGTAAGCTGAGCTCCGTTCTCAGCCCTGTGTTTAGACTTTTTTGAACACAAGACAACTATCCTTTTATTTTCATGGGGGTTAGAATTAGAATCAGTGGGTTGTTTAATTTCAAATTTATTTAAATGTGAAAGTAAGTATGTGCTTTATTTCTGTAAGATGACCCTCCATGAAAAATTTGCTGCCTATGACAACATTACACATAATTTAAACTTAAATGAAACTTCCTCATGTTGGATGGGACCATCTAATGCCCATTTCAATCTAGTCTCCATATTCCGTCTAGAGGTGAGTATGTATTTTGTTAAAGCAAGATTCTTTGTATTCAATGAAGATATTATATTAGTAAGTGCTAAAAATATATTCTCCCCTTTACATTGCCCCAATAATACTTCTGGGAAGAATGTGCAGTGAGGGGAGAATATACCTCTTGGAGATTTCTGGTTTTACTCCTTCCTGTCTTCTTACCGTTACTAGACATCGACACATGTTTGCGTAAGCCACAGAGAAACTGGGTTCATCAATAGCCTTCTCAAAGACGAGGTCAATGACTCCTTTAAGCCGCTCCTCTGTGTCAACAGTAAGTCCTGACACTTGCTTCATGAGTTGGTTGAACATCTGTGGTGTCAATTTATTTAAGATACTTCGAACTTTTCTAAAAAGTTCCTAGAAAGGTAAAAAAAAAGAATTACAGCAACTATTACAATATGGTGATCTCAAGGAGTATTAAAATATAATTTATAAAGTTTAACTACTCAAATTATTTACAAGGATGTGAACTAGTCAAAAGAACTAAATCCATCTATTTTATTATTAAAAATTACATGCCTTCTTTTAACTACTAATGAGAATTCTAGGAACCAAGTATATTCACACTTTAAGGACAGGAATATCGCAATACATTTCTTTCTTTCTCTCTCTCTTTTTTTTTTTTTGTATTGGGAATTGACCTAGAGCATGCTAACCACATCCTTTACAGCTAAACAGCCCTATCTGAACCAACCTCCCTCCCTCCCTCTATTTTGTTGTACTGGGTTTGAACTTGAGCTTATCAGGCAAACGCTCTGCTGCTTGAGCCATACATCCAGACCTTTTTGCTTCACTTATTTTTTTAAACAGGGTCTTGAATTTATGCCTGAGAATTCCTCCCTCCCTCCCTCTCTCCCTCCTTCCTCTCTTCCCTCCCTTTCTTTATTTTATTGTACTGGATTTGAACTCAGGGCCTTGAGCTTACTAGGCAAAAGCTCTGCCACTTCAGTCATACACCCAACCCTTTTTGCTTTTTGAATTGGGTCTCAAATTTTTGCCTGAGCTGGCCTGGACAGATCCTCCTATTTATGCTTCCCTCGTAGCTGGGATGACAGCTGCATATCACTATGCCCAGCTTTTACTGGTTGAGATGGGGTCTTGCAATCTTTTTCCTGGGCTAGCTTACAACCAGGCAATTTCTACCTCCCAAGTAACTAGGATTATAGGCCTGAGCCTCTGTGCCCAGCCCCACTGGAACATTTCTAAGGCCTATCTGACAAAGGGAATCAAATGGTAGATGTATCACTGAATCAGTAATTAAATGTGGGATAGGTAAACAGATTTTAGATCAAATAATTTTCCATAATCACTTACAGAAATAACTTCAAACACAGGTATGAAATATTAGGAATATTAGGCAGAACTCTTCTGAAACAATGTATAGAAACTCTTAACCTATCAGGAATAGAAGAGGGTTGCCTTAGCTAAAAAAAGGGCATCTATAGTCCTACTTAATGGCAATATACTAGATGTTTTCCCTTACAATTGGCAGCAAAGTAGAAAAAGCTATTACTACCATTTCTATGAAATATCATACTAGAGGTTCTAATCAGTGCAACTGGCAAAGAAAGGGAAATAAAAGGTATAAAGATTGGAAAGGAAGAAACAAACTCTATTTGCAGATGATATAATTGCCTATAGAGAAAATTGTAAGGAATATACAAGAACAGCTACTGCAGGATATCATGTCAAAGTGGAAATGTCAACTTTATTTCTATATTAGCAATGAATTAAAAATGAAAAATTTAAAGTAATATTTATCATAGCATCAAAACCCGTGAAATAACTTAGTTGAAAATCTAATAAAATATTCATAGGAGCTCTATGATGAATACTATAAATCACTGATTAAAGAAAACAAAGATCTAAATAAAGGAAGATATATTTTACACTCATGTATGAAGAGATCTATGATTGTTAAGATGTCAGTTTTCCCAAAGTGATCTACTTGTTTAACATAATCCAGATCAAAATTCTAGTAGAATCTGTGTTTTGCTCTTGGTAGAAATTAAGAAGCAAATTCTGTAATTTATATGGAAAGCCAAAACCAAAAGACGAGTCTGAGCAACTGAAAAAATAAAAATAAAAATACAGGTATGTATACAATCTGACTACAACATGAACTACATATTTACTGTTTTTAAAAAGTGTGTGATAATGGTCAGAGGATAGACAGTACAATGGAACAGAATGGAGAGTCTTAAAATAGGCAAGTCATCATATATGACAAACTGATTTTCAACAAAGATGCAAAGAACATTCAATAGAGAAAGGACTTTCATTCTTTTGAACAAATTAGGCTAGGATGACTGGACATTCATGAGAAAAATACCTTTCACTTTTCGATCTCAGAGCTACATATAAAACTGAAACACACAGCACTTAAGAGGAGGATAGGGATTTTGAGGCCAGCTTGGGCTATGTAGTAACTGAGTCCAGCCTAAACTATATAGTGAGATCTGGTGTTGAAAGACAAAAATAAGCTAGGAACCAGTAGTTCATGCCTGTAATTCTAGTTTCTTGGGAGGTTGAGACCAGGAGGATCTCGGTTCAAGGCTAGTCCAAATAGTTCTAGAGCCCTCATTGCTAAAATAACCAAAGCAAAATGGACTGGAGGCATGGATCAAGAGTGCTTGCATTTTAAGTGTGAAGCCTTGAGTTCAAACCCCAGTCCTGCTACAAACTTGTTGCCTATGTTGGTCTTGAACCATGATCTTCCTGATCTCTAGCTACACAACAGTGAGGATTCTGGGTATAAAGACAACATACTGTGCCAAAGTAATTGTTTTGACAAAATAGAATAAAACAACAGAGCAAGAGCAAGAGGCAACACAGGTATGCCTATTAAGAGGAAAAGAAAAGAACAGCAAAAGAGAGTAGGAGTGGAGCAAAGAAAAAGTGTTAAGAGGTCGTACTGGGTCTGAAAAAATTTATTTAATTCTCCACTGGACTTTCTGTATCTATTTATCTATCTATCTATCTATCTGTTTTTGAGGTAAGAATCAATAATGGGGAGAACTCTGTTATGCAGCAGAAAGGGAGATAACGGGTTGCAACAACTTAACTATTCAGTAACCATGACACTGTAGACAACGTATCTCTGGAAGCTTCAGTTTTCTCACATGGACATAAGGGACATTATACATTTCTTCTTCAAGGGTGTAGTAAGAATCTAATGAAATATGGCATTAAATAAGTGTCTTACATACTAAACCAAAAGATCTTCATATCTTAAATTATCTTTATAACTCTGTAACTGTCAGCCTCCACAATCTTGATAAGTATTTTTTTGGCAGGCTGGAGAGAGAAATAGACGTTTTTTTATTTTGCTTTTTTTGTATGTTTTTTTTAAGGATGAGATTGTTGAGACAGATGGCAGGAAATTTAGGGAACTGGATCAGTGAATATGAAGGACATACCAGGGACTTGGTGGCAAATGTCTCAAGCAATCACTGGAAAGATGAAAAAAGAAAATTGGCAAACAGCCAATTACACTGACTAGTATTTTTTTTTTTTTAAATGTATTTCTTTGAGAGTACTGCAGTTTGAACTCAGAACCTCACGCTTGCTAGGCAGGCACTCTATCACTTCAGCCCTCCACCAGCCCTAGCATGGCTTTTTGATGGGCAGTTTATTTTCATTCTTGGTTTGTATGAATAAAAATGTTGGCACAGTTTATTCATGCAACAAATATTCACAAAGCATCTACTCTGTATGAAGTTCTATGCTGATGATGCACCAAAACTTACCTGGGCTCCAGGAACCGTGCAAAATGCTTTAGATAACTTCACTTAATCATCACGATAGTCCTATAGCGTAATTAGTACTTGTAATTTCAATCTGTAATTGAGATTAAAATCCTGCCTAAAAGAGGCAGGACTCTGTCTGCTGATTTGGAAATTTTTCATGTGCTACACTGAATTATTCATGATGAGTGAAAAGATATATAAGGATTCAGAAAATGAAAAGTCAGAATGTGATCTGTGGTACCTGGGTTTAGTACAGTCATGAATAGTAAGAAGAGACTGCAAGTTAAAAAAGCAGAATAACCAAAGGACATAGTAGAAGTAATCTAGGGATAAAACTGGCATCATGTACAGAAAATACAAAGAATTTATATAATTTGATACATAAGAATTAGTTTTGTGGATTAAAAAGGGTATTAATTCAATTTACCTTAAGGAATTTTGATAGCAGGATATATGCAAGAAGAAGCAAAAAATTAAATTTTATTCCAATGACTCCAAAAGAAGATGGATTTTTAAATGTTAGGTTATTAGAAATGAACAGGTGACAAGGAGACTAACGCAACGTACCCATTAGGTTAGCGTGGGGTGAAGAGACTATCACTGAGCATCTAAAAAATGCATTTTAAAGAAAAACAAATATTAATCTAAGCCTGAATGAGAAGTCACATATGAACCCCCTGGATATAGTTTTTTAAAAAATGACACAGCAACTTCCCCTTGCTCCATTTTTTTTGTTTTGTTTTTTTGGTGAGACTGGGTTTGAACTGAGGAGTTCATGTTTGCAAATCTGGCACTCATTTTTGCTCTGGTTATTTTGGAGATGAGGGTCTTGCAAGTTATTTGTCTAGGCTGGCCTGGAAGCACAATTCTCCCAATCTCAGCCTCCCAATTAGCTAGGATTATAGGCATGAGCCTCTTGCGCCCAGGCTTCCTTCTTTTCTTTATATTTACCCCTCTCCCTTCCTCTCTTCCTGTCCATTCCTTTTTCTTCTCCTTTTCTTGGTGGTGCTACAGATTTAACCCAGGACCTTCTACACTCTAGGCAAATGCTCTGAGTGACATCCTTAGCCCACAGACAGCAATTTCAAAGAAACAGTGGCCTGTATGGTATCCATGATGGCCTTCAGAATAATGTTTTCTTTTTTTTGGTGGCACTGGAGCCTCACACTTACTAGACAGGTACCCTACTACTTGAGCCACTCCACCAGCCTTTTAAAAGCCTTTTCTTGTGAGTTTTTATTGTTTTTTGTTTTGCTGTACTTGGGGTTTTGATCTCAGGGCCATACCTTGAGCCATTCTACCGGCCCTTTTTTGTAATGATGCTTTCGAGATAGGGTCTCACTATTTGCCCAGGCTGGCTTTGAATCGCAATCCTCCTGCTGTCTATCTTCTGAGTAGCTAGAATTACAGGTGTGAACTGTGTTCAGCTAGAATAATGCTTTTAATAGAAAAAAAACCTGGGGAAGGGGGGGAGGGGGGAGAAATGACCCAAACAATGTATGCACATGTGAATAAATAATAAAAAAAATTTTTAAAAAATAGAAAAAACACCTTTGAAAAGTCTTAAACTGATGTTTCTCTATATATTAATAAGGCAAAACAACAAATTCAGTTAAAATGCTATCATTTCCAAGACAATATGAGGCTATGCTCCAGACTCACCTGAGTTTTAATGTTTTCGGGATCCTCAGCTTGGCTATCTCGTTTTTGGCTGGGCTTCCAAGCATTTTCTGCCTTTTTTAAGTGCACATCTTCTTTTACAGAAACTGTGATGATCTTTCGGGGCTCCCTTCTCTGACCAGGTTGAGACCTCCGTGGTCCCACATTCGACAACTAAGACAAAAATAGATGTAGTCAGAATGCTTACGATTTACTGTGTGTATTGTGCTGTTCAAGTAAAGTCTGATGTTCACACAGAACAGAAATTGGGTATCAGATGCTCAAGTTAGATGTCACTTTTTCTTTTGAGGTGTTGGGAGGGAGGAAAATTAACCTAAACCAACAACATATTGTTCTCTATCACTATAAGTTTTTGATCCCAAGGTCCCAAATGGGAAAGGTAATGAAAAACGATGGTTCCTAAAATTGTTAGTTTTAACAAGAAAGACTATCCCCAACTGATGCTCTGCATTTTACAAACAGTGTGACTTTTGATGGGTCACTCCCATAATACCAAAACTTCATAGTCATCTGTTACAAATTTCTTCAGAAACTGATATTTATACTTGCAGAATAAAATGCAAATACAATCTCATCACTAAAAGTCTCTGTAACACAGACACCAGCCCTTCTGTGGATCATACTGGATACCTCTAAAATTGATGGATCAGAGATATTAAAGTAAACCCTTCTTATATCATTAAAGGGAACTGAGACTAAATGTCTTTCTGTATATATCAGCTCCCTGTTTTGGCCACATTCCTACTACACTCTGTTAATACCAATATACACTGGCATGTCATGATGTTCTCCAACTTAAGTATTGTCACTTTAAGAGATAACAAACTAAAGCTCTGCTACCTCCCAGGCCTACTACATATTGCCAACCTTTAATTTTTTTGACACATCATTCTTTTAATGCTGAGAAAATATTGCCATGAGATTTTATAAGGGAAGAAATAAAATCTTTACACAAGATGCAGACCAGAATTGTATCTCACTCAATGCTCCAACACTACCCATTTGAATTCACTTAAATGGTAGAGAACAAATAGACAAAAATGCTATGTTTTATGTAAAAATACAGCTTCTAGGATAGACATGTCCTGAGGTCCACACTGGTAAGCTTAAAGCTTGTACATATCAATCATATAAATGATATCAATCATGTAAGAATGATTACACTAACCCATCTGCAATTACAAATGGTAGTATCAAGGATGCGTCAGGATCAAAAGCTGTAATTTCTGGTAAATTCACACATTACTGATGATGATATCAAAAACTTCTTGGTAAATACTATAAATGAAAAAACAAGTCTGATAAACCCAGAAGTAGACGTGGTAAAACTAAAAGACAATGAAAAAATATGGAAAAAATGCAAATAGGAAACAGTTGCTACAACAGAAAGTACTATGTACAATAATAACATTTATAACTGAATATTTGATAGGGTTGCCTAGACCAAACAATTCTGTTAACACAATACAGTAAACCAAGTACTATCTGTTTTCATAATCTAGGTTACAGTCTAGTGTTGACTGTTGTCAGTTAGTATCTTTCAATGCTTGGATATGTCATAAGTAAATGATTGTATTACAAGGCATTTAATTTAATCTTAACATAAAAATGTCAAGAACAAATGTGCCTGAAGCAAGTAAGAGAAAATAGTTTCAAAATCATCTAAGAGTCACAGTATACATATTTGGAGATAAGTCCATACAATGTCTATTTTCCAAAATCTACTGCAAATACCAATGGAAGCACTACTGTAAACAGAAATGACTATGCCTGAGAGTTGCATCTGTAACATGACAGACAAGATTTATGCATATCTCTTTACCTGCTCCAAAGTTAAAAAAAAAGTTCTGGAAAACTAACTGGTTTAAGTTGTTATTTCAACATAAAACAGGTGAGTCAGGCGCCAGTGGCACACGCCTGTAATCCTAGCTACTCAGGAGGCAGAGATCAGGAGGATTGAGGTTTAAAGCCAGTCTCGGCAAACAGTTCCAAGAGACCCAATCTCGAGAAACCCTTCACAAAAATCCGGCTGGTGGAGTGACTCAAGGTGAAGGCCCTGAGTTCAAGCCCCAGTACAGGAAAAAAAAGCAAAAAAAAGATAAAACAGGTGAAATTATAACTGTCAGGCAAGCCCCCAAGATAAAATAATTAAATGGTCTTGCTGAATGTACACAAGAGAAATGCTATTTACAAATACTTATTTAAATATTTTGAGTCCTTAACAGACATATTATGCTTTTAAATCCTTAATATGCTTATTAATCAGTCTCTAATAATCTCACGTTTATACTCTGAGAATGAAGTCACTGCCTATAAAGACTGTAATGCAGTGGCAAAAAGAGGCAGATTAGGAGACAAAAGAACTGGGCTTTTTTTTTTTTGGGTGGCATTGAGGTTTGAATTCAGGGCTTGGCGCTTACAAAGCCAGCACACTGGCTGGTGCCACCCCTCCAGTCCATTTTGCTCTGGATATTTTGGAGATGGGATCTTGAACTATCTGCTCGGGATGGCCTTGAAATAAGATCCTCCAAATCTTAACCTCCCAAATTAGCCAGGATTACAAGCACAAGCCACCAGTGCCCAGCATGCCAAAGCTTCTTAAAGAAAGTAAACTTAATAATGAGAGGTGATCTTTCGGGAAACACTACAAATTCTACATAATATATCATGTATCTGATATATGTAGGAATATAGATGAATGAGTAAATATACAGTTTGAGAAAGTTACTTTTAAAATTCATTTTCTATTTTCAATACTAAAAAAGACATAACTCATTATCAACTTACATTATTTCATTTTTTTGCTGAACCTGACATTAAAAATGATGACTAAGGAGATGATAATAAAGTGACAATACATATTAAAAGAGGATACATCACAATTCATATCATCTTATGAATAACATGAACAAAACTGACCAATATGGTAACACCATATGCTATTATCCAGCGAATAATCAAAACGAACGCTATTTCAAACATTATTTGAAATGTTCACAAAACAGTGTATAAATCAGGATCAAATTGAAAAGTAATACAAATACAAATTTAAACTATCAAAAGAGGAAATAATGCTGAAAGAAAATTTGAGGCATAAAATGGTTTTTAGAAAGCTAATTTATGGTGAGATAATTCAGCTTTAGAAAATTATTAACTTAATATTTAGGAAAAAGATGTTAAATTTTAATTTTAATTTGTATTTGAACAGAATATAACACACACAGAGGTCTTTAAGATGATGGTGCTTGCCGGGCACCAGTAGCTACTCAGGAGGCAGAGGTCAGGAGGGTCGCAGTTCAAAACCAACCTAGACAAATAGTTCATGATACCCTATCTTGAAAAACCTCTTAAAAAAAAAAAAAGGGTTGGTGGAGTGGCTCAGGGTATAGGCCCTGAATTCAAACCCCAGTACTACCAAAAAAAAAAAAAAAAAAAAAAAAAAATGGCAGTGCTCAATAGTGAGTCTCAACTCAAGGAGGTTTTCTATACTCTATATAAAGCCTTGAACATGGTAGAGGAATTCAAGTACTTTCAATCAGTGTTTAGCTGTAGGCAAATACTAATTAAAAAATCTATAACATGATTTGTTTTCAGACAGTGTAGTCTTATTTGAAAGCAAGTTTCAAAAGTTGGTCTTCCAGAAATAAAAAGGTAATGGGAAAATAAAGTGTCATATAAAAACCTTTTTATAAGCATAGAGAACTCTTAAGAGGATGATCTGCAAAGACATATGAAACCCAAAGAGCTCCTCTAGAGTTTAAGTGCTCTTTAAAAGATGCCACTCTATAGTGGGGGAAAAAAGGTATTCAAACCACTGGCAACATTCCCTGTGCTTTCTGCAAATGTGCAAGGGCCAGAGGAGACAGAGCTAGCTGAATTCTGCACAGAGCAGTGCCCCAGCACAACTCCACTGGTGATGCCACTTCCACCACTGAGGACAATGCCACTGTAGGTATAATGGCAATCTCCTCTTTTACACATGTCACTTTCTACATTTTGATTTCACAATCCATAGTGAGACGAGCAAGACAAAAAATACTGCAGTGGACCACAGACTATTTTTTTTTTTTTTTAAAAAGAATTCATCGCACCCCTAAAGGCAGGTTTTTCAGGGGTGAGTGCGACATCACCAGTGGAGTACAACTTGGGGCTTTGCTCTGTTCCAGAATTGGCAATCCATGCCTGCTCTGCATGTTGCAAATCTGTAGAAACAAAGACAAAGAATGACTGTTACCAGAAAGCTCCAGTATGCTTCTGACACCTCAAAACAAAACAGGAGCCCTATCGAGGCTGGGTTTATTTTTAAATCTACTTACAGGTCATTTCAACTGAAAAAATATGGGGAAAAAACCAAAATCATATCAATGCACACCAGGTTCTTTCAAGTAAAAGTGACTCGAAGTTTGCTTTAATGTTCAGCTGGAAAGGACTATCTTTGCCTCTTCTACAGGTTATTGACAGGAATCAACAAGTAAAAGCTATTCTTTTTCTATTAGGAAGATGTCATGCAGTCTGTGACAGTTTTCTAAGTGATTCGATTGTAGGTGACTTGTACTTACCGGTATACCTCTTCCACCAGGTGTCTGCCTTCCAAAATCTGCAAAGGCTGGAGTAAAGTCTGGCCCCCGAGGCAAAATCCGAGGATCCAGAGTTCTCATTGGCAATTTGGGTTGGCTGATCTGCATGAAGAAACAAAACAGTTTAAAACATAAGTGTTCTAATACATTTAGTGCCAGAAAATTAAGACAAACTTTGAAAAGTAGTCAGCTGAAGTGGGTAAGCACTAGTTTCTGAACCAGTGTAAGTTCAACCCGCTGCATAGCAGCTTCTACTGGGCTAGCCTCAGCTCTCAGAAACAAAAATGTGTTTTTGATAATCTGGGACAGATTAGGCATTAAATTCCTAGGACAAGGCAAAACACAGCCAATAGACTGTCTACAAGATGGTTAGGAAGGGTAGAATGCCAGAAGAGAAGTTATTTGGAGTTGATCTAAACTAGAGCCAAATTTTTGGATTTTTAAGAAGCTACTGACCAGGAAATCAGAGCACTTGCCTATAGAAATCATGATATTGTTTGCTTTGGTTTTGATGCATACTGAGTAGGAAAAAAGTCTCAAAGGAGCTATGTCTCGTATGTAATGAAGCATTTAATATTTAATTTTGAGCCCGGTGCTGGTGGCTCACCCTTGTAATGCTAGCTACTTGGGAAACAGAGATTGGGAGGATAAGGTTAGGAGGCTGGCTCGGGCAAAGAGTTTGCAAGAATCTCAATCTCTGGGCCTCAAGGCATGTGAACTGTAATCTCAAACTCTGTGGGAGGCTGATACTGGGAGTATCAGGATCCCGTGCCAGGCCAGGAATATAGATATTGAGAATCCCCCTCTCAGAAAAAGAGAAGTTGGATGTGGATGGCATCCCCTGTCAACGCGTGGTGCGAGGAATCAAATGGCAGGGTGTGATCTAGGTTGGTTGGGGCAAAAAGTGAGAGCAGCTACCTAGCGAGTATGAAGCTGAGTTCAAACTCCAGTACTGTCTCTCCTTCCAAATTAAGATTTTACTTTGTCTCGTTAACATGAGATATGTAGCTTTTATTAAGCACATAAAATGACTATGAACTCAGCAAGGCTAAATAGCTCAGTGATAGTAATGACTGACTAAAGTCAGAAACAAGTAAGGTGGAAAGACATGTTTTCTAAGAGGATAATCTAATTGCCCTCTCAAGTACTGAAGCACCCTTAAATTCAACAATTAGTCATCCACTATCCTCATATAAGTACCTAAGAGAAGACTTAGCTTTAACAAGAGAAACTAGAAATTAGTTGCTATGGAAATGTAAAATAATACAAATAAGATTAGAATAAACAGCTGGAGAACATCTCCATAAAAAATGTGTATCTCATTTTATGAAAGTTAACTTCTACATTTTAATGAGAGATAAACAGTTCTTCGAAAATACTTCAGACATTGGAGGTATAGCTCAAAGGAAGACTGCTTGGTTGGCATGCTTGAGACCTCTAGCTTCCATCTCCAGCATTACCCAAAATAAAACAAATCAAAAATTTTTTAAGCTTAGTCAGCAACACTGGTTCATCTCTGATTTACATAAAACTACTTATATACACCTTATATACCTTATAAGGTATATAAGGTATATATACCTTATATACACCTGACTATTCCTTTTAACTTATTAAATGAACAGTGGCTATACTAATTTTCTGTAAGCAGCAAGACCATATGTAAAGAGAAAGAATGCCTAATGTCTATCTGTTTGCACCGGACTGGGGACTTTAGTTAACAGAAGTAATGACATACATTATTTGAATTATGTTGACCTCCCACACAAACACACAAGTTTTATCCGCCAAATACCTTTCCAGGTTTCTGACCTGTCCTCATCAATAATCAAATTTTGGAAGAGCGGGAGCCAGGTGTCAGTGGCCCATGCCTGTAATCTTAGCTAACCAGGAGGCAGATATCAGGAGGATTGTTGTTTGAGGTCAGCCTGGGAAAATAGTTTATGAGACCATAACTTGAAAATACCAACACAAAAAAGGGCTGAGGAAGTGGCTCAAGTGGTAGAGTGCCTGCCTATCAAGTGTGAGACCCTGAGTTCAAATCCCAGTCCTGCCAAAAAATAAACACATTTTAGAAGAGTGAGGAAAGAGCTTTATCAAATTTAGCCTTGTGCTATCTTCAACAAACAACAATTTTTAACTTATAATGAGGAAAGAGCCATAATAAGAAAATACATTATTCAATTTTTAGAAATCACCACTCAAATAAGGGCCCACACATTATTCTAACCAGCAAAAAGTAAAACTCCCACAGTGTTTTGGGAAAATCTAGTTCTGAAACGTTACAAGTTTCTATTCAAATGACATTTGGTCTAACAGTTCCTAAAAACTGCTCAAGTATGTATGTGAAATACATATCTGTTTTGATAAGTTAAAATCAGCTCCCACTGAAAGACCTGGTTCTCTCAAAGATGCAGCTTACCTTGTCAAGAACCACATCAGTGATAGGAGGCAGGCCTCTGGTTTTTGGATACAGGCTGGCATAAATTGAAAGTCCAGCAGAAATTCCCTGCCATACTGCTTCTTGCCTTCAGTATCAGCAGGCTTCCAGGATTCTAAAAAGAGAGATGTAGGCAGATAACTGTTTGCACAAACTGGATTGCAGTATTTAGTTTATTTCCTTAAGCACAAACAAACAAAAAAAAAAAAATCAAAGGCAACCCTAAACTTCAAATACCTCAGAAATAAGGAATTCAACAAAACCTTTGGCACCACAGAAAACAAGGATACTTTGGTTGTTCATACAGAAATGGTATTTAGAGAAAAGAAAAAGATTAAAGGACATAAAACACAAAAATAAGTAACTAAAGGTACTGAAAAGTCTAATCATATATATCTGCTGTATAATCTGAACAAAATATAGTACAAAACAAATATCCTGGCTCTGAAAGCACTCTTAGCTATTATTTCTGTTTTATTTTGTTGAGATAGGGTCTTTCTATGTAGCCTAGGCTGGCTTTGAACTTGTGATCCTATGGCCTCAGTCTCCTGAGTGCTAGAGTGCTAGGATTACAGAAGTACACTACAATGCCCAGCTTAGTTAATATTTTTAATAAGAATTTTAAGTTACTATTTTACCATAGAAGTTTACCTTGCTACCAATGGTACTGTACCAGTAATCACTAATTTAGCCCCACTCTCTCTAAATGAAACTGGAGAAATTCTATATAATATTTTATTGGATAATGAAAGCAAGCAATGATTCTTTTAATTGACAGAATTCCTATGAAAATCAGACACCAGATCAGTTCATGGTAGCAGATTTTAGCTTCTATTTGCAGAGATTATAGATCCACTAATGGTCGGCAAAATTTTGCAGATATTTTTAACTAAATCCTATTACCTTAATATGTTTATTAAAAGGTGGCCAACTTATCAGGATCTAAATTTTAAACTGCCTTTTGTCCAACTACTGCTGTTGAATACTGTATTAGAGGGATAAAAGGAAGTTGATCGATTATAGTTGACTGGCTAAAAGTTGTACACTTTCACCATGAAAAAATGATACAGTATAATCTACATTTGTAAAACAGACAATACTCTCTCAATTTCCTGAAGAAATACTGGTGGTAGCTGCAAGTTTTTGGTGTTCTGGTATGCACCCAGATTGTCAAAAGTGACTTAAAAATACCAGCTTGAAAACTGAAAAAGAGTTTTTACCTAAAAACTTTTTAGGTCTTATAGCTCCTAAACACTGTGTGAAAATAGAAATGACAAAACCTAACAATTTCATAAAGTCCATTAGCAGGAGTGTACTGTGAGTAAGATCAGTATATCAAGGTGGGAAGTATAAGACAGTGGTTTTCAAATATTTTTGATTACAACTCACAGTAACAAGTACAACTTCATGACTCAGGATAAACACTTACAGAACTAAAATAAAAGTTTCTTGAAATCACACTAACTTTTATTACATGTAATGCACTGACACTTTTCCTTTTATAAAATTATTGGTAATGGCCCACTAGATTTATTTCATAGGCTACTAAATGTATTAAGACCAGCAGTTTGAAAAAAATGGTCCTCCTTATTTTTGAAGTCTGGTATTTTTACATTCAAACCCTATCTCATGAAAAATTTTCCTTTTTGTTGTTTTTATTATTGTTATTACTGGCAGTACTGGGGTTTGAACTCAGGGCCTCATGCTTACTAGGCAGGTGCTTTACCACTTAGGCCATTCCACCAACCAGGGTCTTGCTATGTAGTTCAAATGACCATGAACTCTTTTTTTTTTTTTTTTTTGCTGTACTGGGCTTGAACTCAGGCCCTTCACCTTGAGCTACTCCACCAGCCCTTTTTTGTGAAGGGTTTTTTGAGATAGGGTCTCTCAGAACTATTTGTCCAGGCTGGCTTCAAACTTCAATCCTCCTGATCTCTGCCTCCTGAGCAGCTAGGATTACAGGCGTGAGCCACTGGCACCCAGCTGGCCATGAACTCTTGATCTTCCTGCCTCAGACTAATGAGTATTAAAGGCATAACCCACCATGCCCACTTTTAAAATTTATTGTAGATCGGCAGACTAAGAAAAACTTTTCATATACCTCAAAGTTTCATCACAGGGAACCACCTTTTCCCACATGTCCACAACAAATTTTTCCCAAAATCTCAAAGCCAAATCATGGTGCACAATATTAGGACAGAAGTTTTTTGTTTTGTTTTTGAGATGCTGGGGATGGAACTCGGGGTTTCATGCTTGCTAGGCAAGCAAGCTGCCACTGAGGTACATTCCAGTGTATAGAATTTTAATGCATTTGACGGTGTCAGAAGATGAAAGATCTTGCAGTTTATCATAAATTTCTCAGTGCCATCTCCCAACACTACAGGTATTTGATAATTTAATTACATTGCCTGGCTGATTTATATCAGAGTTAAATTCTACCATGATTTCTGTCAACAAACTGAATCTAAAGCTTATGAAATGATAATCTCAAGGGACATGGTCAGATATAGTATCCCTCTGAATTAAAATGAACAAAAGTATCTCTTTCTTTTTGGTGGGACTGGATTTGAAATAGGGCCTCGCACTTGCAAAGCAGATGCTCCACCACCTGAACCACACCTCTGTAAATTTCTCTTGTTGAATTCCAACAGCCTGGCAGTAATGGATTCCCTTTGGCAACTGCTCTTCCAATGCCAGAAAAGTCCTGAAATACCAACATCAGGTATCATTTCTGCCAGTACAGAATTCTCTGGATTTGCTAATGACTAAATTATGTTTGTGTGTGTATTCTGTAGTTAGTATTTTGTGATGAAGCTTTTCCATCTAACATTTCAATGAGGAAGCAATATTTCTTTAAGATTACAGCAGAGTGAAGGGGAGAACGAACGAGGTACCCAAGAATGCAGAGATAAACATACCTGACTTAAATGGGAATGTGACCCCATCACCAGTACTATCAGTAGAGCCTGAATTAGCATCTATTCCTTCACCCTCAGAAATATTCTCAGCACCATTGTGGATAGGCTCAACTTCTTCTCCATTTTCTTCCACAGCTTTCACTCTTTTTAGGTCAGAGAGGTCTTTGTCCTGATGAAACCCTTGGCTTATTTTATCTTGTTGAGATTCAAGTACACTGTCAATTGAAAGTTCCTCTTCAGCTTTAGGCTAAAGTATAAGTGAAGATAGAAATTACATATTTTTCACATGTATAAACATAAATAATGGCATATATCTACCTCCTACAAAAAGCACAGGAAAGCACTGTCACTCAAGGTAAGACTGTGTCAGCATATACTAGAAAGGTAAAATTTTAAAAAGCATGTTACTCATTTCACAACCTGGGATAAGGCAGACAATTCAAATAGCTACTGAAATGTTTTAAAATGTGAGTAATGAAATCAAAATGTACCAAAGGGTATAATGGAAAGAATTGTTAATCCTTGGAATTTGATGAACATGAAAAAGTTCTAGTCAGAAATCTGAAATAAGCATTCCTCTAACTAGTAAGGCTCAACAAATATAAACAGAAACACTCTGGAGACTGTATTTTGTGCTGTCTTTGGCTGAGAAATGGAGAGTTGGGGAATTAAAGCATTTAACTCTATAAAGCCAAATGTATCTCATGTTACACGGAGTCACATGTTAGTTAAAATGAGTGTGGGGTGTGTGTGTGTGTTGTGTGTGTGTGTGTGTGTGGTGTGTATAAAAAGCTCAGAATTTAACTCTTTAGGGAAAAATCTGTTCTGAAGTATCAAGTCTATTTTTTCGGCAAAGAAGAATTGAAGCTATCCCTCAGGTTGTTTTTCACCATGTATCTGGGTGCCAGATATCAAACAAAACAGCTTTCTAAGGTCATCCTTAACCACCAAAACTCCTGAGGCAAAGTTCACCATGAAATGTCTCTTTCTTTTCATAAGAGGAATACACTGAAGACAATTCTATGGAAAAAGAACTCAACAGAGCACTGAGTAAGGTGCATATTCTAAATATCAGAATGCAGACCATCACAATGATTATGTTTAAAAAGATTTGAGTGACAAATCTACTTTATAACACAAAAGAATTATAACAGAATATAATACTAGTAAGTTTTTCTTTTATGATACATCAGATCACAGAAAAAAAGACACAAATTTTCAAATGTTATCAGTAGAAATAGATAGTTTTAGGTCCTGATTATCTAATGGAAAAAAAAAGTTTATGCAAATATGCTTGCCCCCCCCACCAAACACACCTCTATAAGAGGCAGTATATGGAAACTATCAAAAGATAGATGTTAGGAATGGTAAATCCTAGCACTTGGGGAGCAAGTTTCATGAGTTTGAAGCAGCCTGGAAATAGCAAGGTCTCAAAACAAAAATACAGCAAAATAAAACAAAACAAACAAAAAACCCCACAGTACCACCAAAAAAAAAAAAAATCCACGAAGAGAAAAGAACTTGCAATCCCTACTGTGGAGGCACAGAAAAAGAGGATCACAACTGAAAGCTAGCTGGGCAAAAAGTCAGTAAGATCCTATCTCAAAAACAAAATGTAACTGCTGGACATGATGGTACATGCCAATAATCCTCGCTACTGGGAGGTAAAGATAGGGGGTTTATGGCCTATACCTCAGAAACTGAGAGAAAAAAACTTCATACTTATACTTTAAATGAACTCATAATGACTCCAAAAAACAAACTTATAATTAAGTACAGGTCATCAGGAAAACTCTCCTTCCCTTAAACCCCAGAAGAGGTCTAACTATGTTGCCCAGGATGGCTTCACTATCTCAGAATCAAGCAATTTTCTGTTGCAAATTCCCAAGTCATTGAGACTATAGTAATGCACTATCATACCCAGCAAAACTTTTAATAATCTGAAGTGTAGGCTAGATTCAGTAGTTCATGCCTGTAACTCCAGCTTTGGGTAGGCAAGATTATAGTTGAGGTCAACCCAGCAAAGTTAGTGAGATCCTATCCCAATCAATAAGCCACATGTGAAGTTGTATTCCTGTGATCCAGTTGTGTAGGAAGCAGAGTTAGGAGGAACATATCCCAGGAAACTCTAGAAAAAGTGAAAAAGGGCTAGGGGCGAGGTTCAGGTGGAAGGTATACCTGCCTCGCAAGTGCAAGGCCCTGAGTTCAACCCCAGACCAAACAAAACAGTAACAACCCCCAAGACGTACAAAACCCTGAAGTGTATGTATATAAATGATAGTAAAGAACAGGATAACTGCATTATTGATTAAGTAGAACTCTTCTTTTAATCTTTGCAAAATGTGAAAAGAAAATGCCGTTTTAGAGAGGAAAACTGGGTATTCCTCTCTGTATCTAAATCCGTAACAGACATAAACAGAAGTTTATTATTTGGAACTTCAATTCTAACACCAAAAAGACGTATAAAGACACTTTCCCCATGAACAACAAACCGTAATTTAGAGGACACAGAATCACTAAAGTGTCTCAAAACACAATGTTATAAGGGATATTTCAAAAGAATCAACAAAAATAGGAAAATTAAATATGTGATTATTTTTCTTTCATCAGGGTGAAGCCCTATCAAACTAGTCCAAAAGAGCCTAATAGTTTCTATTTTTTTCACTCAGAAAACCACAATGAATAAAAAGAGAACTTCATTGGCTTGATAGCAAAAGGTGAAACTTTTGTGTTGAAGGAGAATTTAGTTGACAAAACTCCAGCTTAACAACAATGAATCTTTTAATACATGGAGAACTAAGGATGCAATGGTTGATGAAATTTCCTAAAATTTTATAACAATTTTAAAATGCTTTCACCGGCAATTTTAAAAGAAAACATTTTGTTACTTTTCTAGGCTATAACTTAAAGAAGCTAATAATATATATTTATAATGATTCGACAACAATGACGTATGTAATGATTCAAAATAGAATGTGCGCTGCATATTATTTTTTTAAAGGCTGAGAAAATAACCTAAGGAAGAGAGTGCTTCGTCAGTGCAAATGAAGGAAAAGGTATCCAACAAATAACTCTACTCTAATAATCACTTATTTTAGTTAGGCAAGGAAATTACATTTCTGAAAGAAATCTATATGCAAATGAACAAATACTTTTTAAATTTAACATTTATCCAATAAGGGTAGGAAATAAGTGACTGATTAAAATGAGTTAAGGTACTAGGGTGTGGCTCAAGTGGTATAGCACTTGCTAAGAAGGCATGAAGCCTTGAGTTCAGTCCTTAGTTCCACTAAAACAAACAAAACAAACAAAATGAAAATAAAAGACTCAAAACAGTTCTCCTTTTTGAAGAATAACAGGGCTAAAGCAGGATTATAGCAAACTATAGCCCACTGCCAATTTTGCCTCAGTACTTATTTTGTAAGACAGCAAGGATAGGATGATTTTATACTTCTAGTAGTTCATGACATACAAATTCAAATTTCAGGGCCACCAATAAAGATGTACTGGAATATAGCCAGATTTTACTGGTTTACCTATTGTCTTTGACTGCTTTGGGGCTGAAGTGGTACAGTGAGGAGTGTGACAGAGATCACAACAGTCCATAGGTCTAAAATATTTACATATTCCAACTTTTACAAAATAAGTAAGCTGTTAGGAAACCCTAACTAGTCTTAAAATGTCCACACACATACAAAACCAGTGATGAATATTTGAAGACATGAGAAATATAGCTATAGGACAAAGGAACATGAAACATAACAGAAGAAATGAATAAAAATCCAGCTGCACCTAAAAAGAAGTCAATATATATAGCCATACCAGGAATATATGTGATTCCATGCCTCTAGAAAGTATTTTATTTTCTTAGGAGCAGCATTTCTTCTTGTTAAGCTGCAGAGGAGTGTAACAACCACTGGCACCTCTACTGTAGTGCCAAATCTTACTCCTGATAACCACAATCAATCACACCCATGCAACATGTTAGTGGTTGCTAAGGGCCTAACTGTGACATCAACAGAACATCACATAAAGGTAATGGCAGGACAGGGAAAGCAACAAAGGGTAATGTAAGCTGCAGGAGAGAAGAAAATTTTCTTCTTTTAAGTGCTGGGTTTTAACCCACAGGCTTCTAAATTTGAGCTATCCGCCCCGTCCATCGTGTCCCCCCCCCACCCAACACAAACACCGCGTCCTTTTTTGCTTTAGGTGTTTTTTAAATAGTATTTCCAGTTATGCCCACGCCCAGCTTGGATACAATCCTCCAATCCTCCTCTTTATGCTTCCCGCATAGAAGGGGATGACAGGGCACAACCATACCTAGCTTTTATTAACGGAGATGGGGTCTTACATATTTTTGCCTGGGCTGGACTGAAACAGTGATCTTCCTGAATAGCTAGGATTATAGGCACAAGCCACCATGCT